TGCTTTTAGAATTAGGAGAAGATATGTGTGCTGCTGCTTGTCAAGTACAGAATAGTTATAAGGCTTAATAGAGGTTATCAAATTAATATACGTAGTGAAGATAGGATTGTCTGTACAAATGTTTACTTCTGTATATGAATTGACTATAGAAAGGATAAAGTTTAGCAAATTAAGCATCATGCTTATATATGAAGGCCATTAGTTAGTAAAGCAACCAAGACAGATGTTGGTATTTTGTATATAGCATTTTGCTATTATTTGAGAGTTGTTGTTTACTGTTTGTTGGTTGGAGGTTAAGTAAATTGTTAATGTTTTTATATTGAAGTTAGCTTCTGTTAATGTTTTTCAAAGGTTAATTGGAGGATTTTCAAAAGAACATAAAAAGGTCTTTCTAATATTAGGCTTATGTTTTGTAATTGCTCTCAGGTTATAGTTATTGATTTAACATAGTTTAGTGCTTTTTTAAAATCTATAATGTCTAAGTGGATTTTCTTTTTGCAATCAACCTGCAGATTGTATAATGATGTTGTTATATTAAAGTTGTAATGCTTAGAGCAATATGATCAATTCCTTAGTTTACAGCTTATGCATACTGATATTGTATTATCTGGCTTTAGGATGTAATGTCGAGCTTTGAGAACTTTGTTGTGAGGATTATGTATCTTGCCAATAATAGAATTATCTGTAATTATCCAGCCTTTCTCTTTAGGGTTCTATTAAGACAAAGTATAAGGGTTTACATATGAGAATATTGATGAAGGATTAATAGAGACTGCTATTAAGTCTTGAACTATAAAAAACCAGTGTGGATAGCATCCTCTTGGTCTCTTTTTAATGTTGTAGTGAAAATTGATTCATTCTAGAAGCTCTAAGTTGGTTGTATTTAGAAATTGTTCTATGCTAGAGATGTTATGATTGTTCAGTTTTTCTTTGAAGTAAGAAGCTCTAGGATAATTTAGCAGAATTTGGTTTATTAAGGTTCCAGTAAAGGTTTTGGAATAAGGCCAGTTGTCACCATTTTATGAAGTTTGTAAATTTAAAGCATGAAGTGCAAGCACTATTTGGCTAGTTTGTGTATTTAGTTGTGAAGCTGGAAAGACTGAAAATTGAGTAAAAATAGAGGTATTAGTAAGAGCTAAGTCTTGTAATTGTTGTAGTCATAGCTTCAGAAATAAGAAGTCAAAACTATGATGGTTTAAGTTTTTTTGGAGTATTGTTACTAAGAAAGAGAGTTGGGCCTGAGCTAAGTTGCTTAAGGCATAAATGTCTGGATTGAATAGAAATGAGTTTGGAACTCCCCGAGTCAGCCTTGCTTTATGTTTAACTAGACTAGTGCAGATCTTGTTAAGTGTGTTGATTTGAGTATTAGAAAGAAATATGGAGTGCAACCTATAGAGCAAACGTGAGAAGATAACACTATTTATTATATAAATTGCTTGTTTTTCTGTTATATGAGCAAATTGTAGCTTTTTTAGATTGATTGTTGTCTCAGCTATGATTTTTTTTTGAACAAGTATTGTTTTTTTGTTATTAGAGAACTATGCTCCTAAATACTTAAATAGTGTTCCATTAGCGATTGCTATTAATTGTTCATTTTCAAAAATTATACTATTATTTGGATCTTTTGAGTTTGTTGCTAGAATTGACTTAGTAGAATTGACTTTTATATTGGCGAAATTATAGAAGAAAGAAGCTGTGTAGAGAATGTTGGTAAGAGAAGTTTTGTCAGATACAATTTACAAGAAGTCATCCATGTATGCTATTACTGAGATATGAATTTCTTTTGGATGAATGGATGAGATTTCTCCAGTAAATCCCTGATGTTCTATATGAATTTTAGATATGAGAGAGTCATAATAAATCTTCCAAAGAAGTGGTAAGATTGTTTCTCCCTAATCTACTTCATCTTTGACAAAGTAGGATTAAGTTGGCCCTAAACTAGTAATTACTTTGTTAGTACAATGATAAAGCAAATATGATAGCAAATTGATTGCTTTGTTAGGTATGTATATTCTTTCAAGTGATTTGCATAAAGTTGGTATATGAATTGAGTCAAAAGCTTTTGACATATCCTGAGACAAGATTCAGATCTCTTTTTGGTTTATAGTTGTGTCTTCTAAGATGTGAGTAAGTTGGAAAATGGGTTAAAGTGTTGATTGGTAAGGGAAAGCTGCAAAATTGTAAGAGAAAAGCACTTGGCTATGAACTAGAATATTTGTTAAATGATTTGTTAAAATTTTTGTAAAAATTTTTCTAGTATGGTCTATTAAAGTAATTGGTGGGTGGTATTTAATTCATAATTATATTGTTGTTTTTTAGAAATCAGCCAAATATTAGCCTGTAACTATTGATTTGGGACTATTTCTTGTGTTATGCAGCTATTGAAGATATTTAGTAGAACTGTAAAAGCTAAGGATGGCAATTGCTGAAGAACTTTATTTGCAATTTCAGAGGGTCCAGTTGCTTTTCCTTTAGGGCTAGATTTATTGTTTGTATCAGTTCAGTTATTGAAATAGGTGAGAGAAGAGTATTGTAAATATCATTTCATATATGCTAAAATAAAAAGTAGAATGGCTTCTATTCTTCCCATAAGGAATTGTTAGGAGAGTTGTTTTTTGTCCAGTTTTTGAAATGGGTGTATACAGTTTCTTTGATCTCCCTTTGATTGGTAATTACACTGTTAGATGTTATGACTTTTTTGTAGCTAATTGGTTTTGCTCACCTTTGTAGAATACTATCTAGCATTCGGCTAGTGTTGTCTTTAAAGTCAGTATACCTGTGATTAATATAAAACTTAATGTGCTCAGTTTGTTCTTGTTTTTTTTTATAGTTGCATGCTTGCCAAATTGTATGTTTATGTTGTTTGACTTGATTTATAGTGTTTAACTGTAATTGATCAAATTCTTCTTAAGTAATAGGAGTAATGCTAATTTCTGCTAAGGTGGCTGCTTTTATTAAGTACTGATTGGCCTAAGCTATCGTGTTTGCTGCTCTATTTGATAGTTGTTGTAGGCATTTGTTGATATTCTTTAGAGCTGAGTGGAGTTTTGTTGCCTTTAGTGACATTGCAAAGAAAGGCTGTGGGGCTGTAAAAGTGTATAGAATATGTTTATTCATTGCTTCTTTTATTTTTAATGCTCAGTAGTTCTAAGTTCTATCAATAACTTCTTTATCCATATTTGATAAAGAGGTTTCTTGAGAATTAAACAATATGTTTACTGTATTTGCAAATTCATTCCATGTGTCTGTTGTAGTTTTTTCATATAGATATATATTTTTTTTCTTTTTTTTTGTTTCTGAGAGCTTTTGGCAAATAGAAATTGGTATGCTATGTTGTGTTTAGTATACAATGATCACTATTGGTAATATAAGTAGCATCAATTATTGTTGGTGGATTGAAGGCTAAAAGTATATCTGAAGAAACCCAAAAATCGTCTATTTGACTGGTTGAATTAGGACCATGCCAAGTAGGTGTTTGTATGTTATGAAAATCTAATAAGCTAGTTAAGTTGGCAGCATTTAGGTTGGTGAAAATTGAAAGTTGTTTGTTTCTGTACTGATTTGCATTAAAATCACCCAGAATAATCAAATACCAGTTTCAAAATCTGGCCTTTGCAACCTAGGAGCAAATTTGAGATTGTGTCTGTTTTAAAAGTGAGGAATGGTTTAAGGGAAGATATATTGAAATAATGCGAGATTTGTTATTATTTGGGAAAAAAAAATCGATGCAAATTGCAATGCCAGGTAGAGTATTGATATTATGAATATAAGGCTGTAGTTGGTTGCAGACTAATAAAGCTGTTCCCAAGCTAGCTTCTTTTTGATTCAAGTCATATAGTAAAAAGTTGGATATAAATATCTTGTAAAAAGGATTGGTATACAATTTTGCTGCTAAGTCTTTTAATTTAGTTTCAGTTATAGAGATTATATGTAGATTTGATTCTACACAATGTTTGATTCAGTTTTGCATTTTTAGTATGTTGTTGATGTCTCTAATGTTGTGTGTAGTTATGTTGATTTTTTTATTTAAATTTAGTTTAACTTTTTTTGTTTCATTCTCATTATCTGCTAAGAGCAGATTGTTTATATGATAGCTTATACTCATTAGAGATCCATATTGTCATCTTCTTCCCTTTCTAACATTTGTGTATATGTGGTTGTTATTTGTTTTAGTAGATCAAAGATTTCAAAGAATGGTTCAGGTAAGTCTATGAGTAGTGATGGGATAACTTACCTGACAATGTAACTTACATTGTAAGTTACATTGTAAGTTATATACACTCTATGTAACTTACAAATATATAATAATAAAGTTGGCCAAGATTATAATAAAGTTGGCTAGCATTGACATAAAAAGCAGTTATCCCGATCAATAGTTGCATGGGTTACAGATCATACAACAATATTCCTACTCTCTTATTAATTATATTACTAGTGTTTATAAGCACTAAATACCGGAGACAATAATCAACACAAATATCAGAGACAATAATCAATATTTTTATATGAACCACTAAAAATAAGATAGAATTATAGATTAGTACTTACATATTTATACCGAAAGCAGTAATCTTTTAGCATATACTAACTTATATTCAAGTGAATAAACATTTAAAAAACTTATCAACAGATATGATTTAATAGAATACAGATTAACTTTATGCTTAGTAAATATAAATACTATGAAAGTTATAATGTTTATTTGTTAAATGCGATTTTTATTAAAGCCATCAAATAATAATATTGAAATAATAATATACTAAATTTTGCCTTCTCAAACAAATTCTTCGTAAAAAATAAAAAAATTGATGCTTTATATTAATGATCTATTTTATATTTCTATATCGCTTATATCGCCTATGCTATTTATATTATCTCTACTACCTGTATCGTCCATATTACCTGAACTATTCATATTATCTACATGATAAATTTCCATATCAATATCAACATAATCTATATCATTCATATTCGACAAATTATATTCTTGTGAAAAGGAACTTTCTTCTATCGATTCATCTATTTCTAAATCATTTTCTTGTATTGATTCTTTTTCAATTGTTTTTTGACTATTAGCATTATCTTCAATTAAATATCCTTTTTTTTTTAACTCATTAACTGAAATTGGCCATTTTAATGAACGTAAAGCCCGTAGATTCCAGTAAATATATACAATCTTTTCTACACGAGGATTAAGTAAGCGATTACGTAACTTTGTATGAACAAAATTAAAGGCTGACCAGTTTCGTTCACTGGCAGCTGAAGTTGCAGGTATTGAGAGTAATTTTAATGCAATTTCACTTAATACCGGATATCGTGCTTTAACTAAATTCCACCAATTATGTGGTTTTTCTTTTAATGTACCCCATAAGTAGCTAGCCGAAAATCCATCGCTTTTTCCTACAAATTCAGCAAGTTCTTCTAAAACTTGTTCCTCATTTTCTGGCCCAGCAAGACGTATAATCTCTCTTTCTATTGGAGCATCCCATTTTTGTGGATCTAAAATTTCTCCACAATATCTTGGATCTAATTTATATGCAGCCATAGTTGCTGGATTATACAAAAAATCATTCCATCGCTGTTCTACTAATCTTATACTTTCTACAATCACTGAATTTGGAATACAGGTATTGTTACGTACTATTGTTTCTAATTGCCGTAATTTAAAAAATGCAGATGATAAAAGTGGCACATCTCCTTCTAATTCATGGATAAATTTAACGAATGGTTCAAAAAAATCACAGAGAAGTTTGAGATTTTGCCAAAATTGATCATTCATCATATGAAGTTTGATATTATAGTTAATATCTATACTGTCTTCAATTAATAATGAGCGAATAGCACTTTTTGTTTGTAATAAATGATTCATACAATAAAATGCTGATCCCCAACGTGTATCTGCTAGTAATACCAAGGCAATTATATTTCCATATTTTTCAATTTGAAGTCGACGAAGTGCTGCCAATGGTATAAAATGTGATCGAAAATAATTAACAATTTCTTTGGCAATATTATATATATTTTTTGACCATTCTAATTTTAAAATATCTTTTATCCATAAATTGATCCTGTGAGCCCAACATCCTAAAAATATTTTTGTTGGATATTTGGTTTTAAGAATTCGCCAAGCAGCTCTCATATTTGCGGCATTGTTAGTGATAACAGCTACAAACTTATTAATATTAAGCTCTTGCATTACTTTCTCAATTTCTTCTGCAATATTCTCTGCCGTATGATGATCCTCTTTAGTATGTATAGATTTATAAAAAAAGGGTTTAGGCGTTGTAATCATAAAATTAATAATAGAGTCTTTACGAATGTTTGACCAACCGTCAGTTATAAGACAAAAAAAAGATTTTTCATTAAGTAAATGATTAACTACAATGTTTATATCATTATACTCTTTAGTAAGAAGCGAATTTGAAAGAGATTTTCATGAAGGCAATTTAAAATATGGGCATGCTTTTGTAAAAAAAGCTTTTATATCCTCATTTTCTATAATGTCAAAAGAAATACCGGCAGAATAAAACCCACGTGCTAGTAAACTTTCTAGCTCTTCTTGATTATTTTTAGTAAACTTGTATAAGTAATTTTCTATTGACGATTGTTGTTTGTGTCTTATAATCTGTGTATTATTATCATCCGTAATAGCAGGCATTTTTTCTTTATTCAAATTTTTTAAAGCACATTGGTTATAATGATCTTGCATTTGTGACTCATTCTTGACCCATGTATTACTACATGTTTTGCATTTCCATCACTCTTTTCCAGTTTGATTAATTTTATCAAATCCGTTCCAAAAATCTCCTTTTTGTCGTGGCATGAATTTGTTATTAAAACAAATTAAAAGAATTGCTTATACATATATAGGTTGTTCTCAAAGAGATATATAGATAAGTATAATTTTTTACTTTTTTTTGTGATTGTTTATATGTTTTATTTAATTTGTTAATTTTTATGTTAGGATCTTTGATTTTATTATTTATTTTAAGAATTACGGAAGATAAGTTATTATTATTTATTTTGAAACTGCTTATATATATTTTTTATTTTTACTAATTAATTCTTTAGAATCTCTACTAATTTTTTTCTCATAGTTTTTTTTTACTATCGAA